CTTTCAGTCCAGGCTCCCTGGCGCTTATTCTAATTCCCCGTTACACTGACAAGACAAGACATGTTAAATAACATCAGCAATGAGCCGCGGGTGTACAATCAAACTGTCAATTAGACGGGGATTGTGTTTAATTGCGCCGGCTTTGTCACCAACAAGCCGAGTCCGTTCGTTGTTATTTTGGCTTTCATTAGGAGCTCTTGTCGCGCCAACAGTCCACTTGACAATGATTAAAAAGCAGCCATTTTGGACTTGTTGACTATGGCTTTATCGGTGCCCTGTATAATCACGACCGACTGCTGCTCATAATTATCGGTCGTTTGACTGCTCAATTAGTGGTGGAGCCCCGGCGAACGATTAGCCAAAAATCACTATCAAGGATGATAGCGCGTCGGTCGCGCCTTCTCGCATGAAAAACGCGAAAATTGTTCGAACTTCTTGCACGAGCAAGTCAAGCAACCTTTAGGTTCCGGGTAACTGTTCAGCGATAACATCATCTCATCTGGGCCGGCCGAGGCAGGCGTATTTTCCACTAGAACCTGCATTTATTAAGTCGTTCAATACATTTTTAAGATCAGTTCCACAGGGCGATTGAAAATTGCAAAACAAACAAGTGCAAAACATGTTTTTCGGGAATAAATCATTATTTTGAAATGGCCCCATGTGTGATTGGTAGCCTATTCTAGTTACAAAGTAACCAGTTGTGTTAGTTTTTGCAGCCAGACACCCAAGAATTCAACACTTGCCCAAAGCGGGTGATTATTCTTCGGATACTTAAAAAAAACTCAATTTTTTGTGATCAGACCTGCGTTTTTTCAGCCAAAGAATGTCGCACTCTCTATTTAATGATTGGGATTGTGCTTGACGAAAGTATTCCTTCAATGGAATGGTAGATTGTGGCACTCACACAGGGGAGGATCCCGCTTTAAATTCAGGGGGGGGGTATGTCTTCTGTTGTCTATGAAATTAGAAAAACTATCGTCGTTTTGTGCAAGATTATTGCAAAATTTCTGTTTTCCGTCCGGTTTTGCATGTTTCTCGGAAGAAAAATGAGCAAGAACGCTCGTTTTTACATCATTCCAAAGAGAAATAAATGGCCTTTTT